AAAGTCAGAATTCTGACTTTAATCTCAGAATTCTGACTTTTTCATCAGGATTATTTTTTCTCAGAATTCTACTTTTTTTGAGAGTTCTGAGAAAAATTCTGATTCAGAATTCGGACTTTTTTCTCAGAATTCGAACTTTTTCCCCCTCAGAATTCTGAGATTAAAGTCAGAATTCTGAGAAAAAATAATTCTGATGAAAAAGTCAGAATTCTGACTTTAAGTTCAGAATTCTGACTTTTTTTTTCTCAGAATTCTGGAAAAGAAAAAAAGACGTGCCCGCTTTTTGTTTTTTTCCAGTGGCCCTAATCCTCTTCCGTAAAATTCACGCAAACAGCTGTCTGTCGATGGAATAGTGTGAAACCAGTGACAGGATGTGATGTGACGCTACCCTTATGCATAAGGTTCCTCATGCATTTGCATCAAAGCAAACTCCATGGATCAGTCAGTGTTTGTGAAAACATGACTCAGCTGTACCACTGCTAGTCAACAAATCCTCCACACAGTGCTTTTAAACCGATCTGCTTCTGATCTTTTGTGTATGGGGAGTTTTTATTCATTGAATTATTTTTACGAGTTACTGTTGGATTACTTCATTTACAGCCTCGAGGAGGTTACTGTTCTCACGTTTCCTTCTTTTGGCAGTAGCCAATGTGACGTCCTGATCTAAACTCCAAACTGTGGCTTTCCTGAGTTGTTTTGTCCTTTTTCTTCTCTTCCCGGCAACTCTGACTGTCTATAAATAGAGAGAGAGAGCAGTACGTAGATGTGCTAAACGTCCTCATTCGCATTAACAGAACGGATCCTGTTTTGGGATGTAGCCTTCCTACAACCCAGCTGTGTCCTGATCTAGTTCTGCTCTTCCTCTGTAGTTGTAACAATGTCCTCTTCACAGCCTTGCCTGGACACACCGTCGGCCTGAGTGTTAACCCCTGCCACTGCATGCCTGTGTTTCACCTACTCAGTCTCTGTGTTTCTGTCCCTCCTTCCCTCCCTGTCTGTTTTTTTTCTCTCTCTCTGTCTGTCTGTCTTTCTTTCCCCCATACGTCTGTGCATTCCTGCGTGGTAGAGGAGCCTAGTCCAGTCAGTGAGAATAAGACCCCCCTGGTGGGGCCCCCGAGTGGCCAGGGACCAGTGCCTCTGTCTGTTATCTGCTGGTACCGTGTTCAGAGCCTCTCCTTTAGTGAATCCTGCAGGAGTCTAGAGGTAAAGGAGCCAGGCAGACAGGAGAGGCCCTGTGTTTATGTTTTATTTGAACTGTATCGCAGGAAGCAAGATTTATAGAGAGGAAATTGAAATTAAAGTTGTAGTAATACCTCATAGCGACATAGTGAAATATTATGGTATTAACACCACTATTAAAGACTTTAATTAAGCATAATTTATTGCAGAGGGGCCAAAACTGTGATTTTTCCTTCCTGCCTTATAGTTATTCTTTTGGGGTTAAATAGAAAGTTTATGTAGTAGCCCAGCCAAAAATCCCCTCGCCATTGTGAGAGCTCATCTACTCCCACAAGTCTTAGAAAGTTTAGACACAAAATGGCTCTTAAGAATCAGTTTTTGTGTCTTTAGTGTTAACATATCTTCTCTTGTATTATGTTGGATGTGTTTTCAAGGCTTGGTTCCCAAAGTAAGTCTGTCACACTTCCAAAAAAACCCAAAAAAAACCACACAGGTTCAACAATTTTTCCTTTCTGATAAAATTCCTCCTGTTCTTACTGCCAGTGATTTTAATGGTAATTAATCCACAGTCCTTATGAAGTTCAGTGCATGTCACAGCTAGATTTTAAGAAAGACTTTTTCTAGTGTCCTTGTGTTACATTCACTGTAATACAACTTCATGAAGAAACACTGGAGTGAATCTTCTTTTTTTATAGTTAATATTTGGTAAGAATTGCTGGCTTTTTTTAAAACACAATTTTTTTTTCCTGGAAAAATGGGAAATATCGATTTAATCTGAAGATTTCAGACTGTAGAAGCTTCAAATTTGGGGTATATTTCTGCACTGAATCTAAAATTTGTACCTTCGCTCTTACATACTACAGGCAAAATGGGAACAGACTGTCTGCTAATGGTCAGTGTGAAGAGGAGGAATAATTATGCAGGCTTCAGTGTGTTTAATCATTATTTGAGTGTGTCTAATTCATTTAAATGAACGAATTTGAACACACTGTGTGTGTCAGATTAGGGCGGGAACCTTTAGTATATCTGATCTCCTCGTGTTGGTGTTTGTCCAGGATCAACATTGCATCTGACCAATCGCATTTTTATGATGTCATAGCATTGCGATTTGGAAAAGACCTGCTCATGGTTGGGGGTTAAGGTTATGGGGTTAGCGTTACGATGTGGTTTGTGGTGTGATGGTGCAATCGCAAAGCTATGACATCAGTACAATGTGATTGGTCACTTGCAATGTTGAACCTGAGGCAACATTAGTTTTGTTGATCTGAGAACAGCACCAACACAACGACATCAGATCATGTTGGAAGCTATACCTAGTAAAATGAAGCCTCTTTAGAAAAGTAGACAAAGTAGCTTGATTGCATGTTTGAAAGTGCAGGTAGAAGTTAAATTTCACGAGTGTTGCACTAATAGTGAGATATGGATGGCTTTCAAAGCGTCAGAATCAGGCTTGTTTTTCTCTTTGTAGAATCAGCTATCAGGAAACTTACTAAGGAAGTTTAAGAACAGCAACGGCTGGCAGAAGCTCTGGGTTGTCTTCACCAACTTCAGCCTGTTTTTCTACAAGTCTCACCAGGTAAGGAGTACACGCTCTCAAAGTCCTGTTGTTTGACTATGAGGATGGTGGTGCGCTCCCTCGACTGGTCTTGAAAGCATCAGATCTCAGTGTGAAATATCGAATCTGTGTGCCATATTTGAGGTAAATGCGTTTTCCCATGCAGTATTTCATACTGTGAATTTCAAGAAAAATAATGCCACTCCTAAACTTTATAGAAACAAACACTCCCTCTGTGTATTAAAGGCTCATGAAGTTAGCACAAATTATGTGGAAAACCAAAATTTATGGAACAGTTGCAAGAAAATTAAATGTGCTGCACACGTTTGAGTTGAAAAGACTTGTAAAATATGCTGTCAATGCTCTGCAATGGAGACTTGTGCACCTTCCAGTAAAGGTGAAAGACAGCAGTGGAGCTTTTCCATTACTACCCCTCAGCGTTGTGTCGTTGATGAGGTATTGTCGTTACCCTGCCGGGCGGGCGGGTGACAACACGTAGGACTTTCAAATTGATACCATAAGTGTGTCTGCTAAAACTCTCGGAGGAATTCAACCCCAGTGACCTCAACCTCAAGGTTAGAGGTCAAGATTTCTGAAAATCTTGTGAATGCAATAATTTGATAAGGATGCTGCTAAGTTTTTAAAATTGATACCATAGATCTATCTACTATAAGGCTGAAGGGAGCCACTGGCTGCTGCTAGTATGTTTTTTTCCAGAAAGCAGCCGAGGAAATAATTTAAAAATATCTCATGTGGATGGCTTTGGTGATGCCTGAGGGTGGGCTGTAGCAGCCAGGCATCGAACTATAAATGCATGTAACTGAACAAAAAAATCACAAAGAATAAGATACAACAATTAAAATAGTATAATTACATGAAGCTAAGTAGGAGCAAGCCTGAACAGGTGGTTCTTAAGTTTTGGGTTTCACAATTTGGGGGCCACAATCTCAAAACCACAGTCCCCCTTTGTCTTTAGAAACAGATTTATAGAAAGCACTTAGGTGTAGAAAAAGGTGCTTGTGTGAATGGGTGGATGAGACATCAGACACATGTTTTCTGCTCAAGTAGAGCAGACAAGCACTACAGAATGACCAGCCCATTTAACAGACCATACAAGCGAATGAAGATGCCAAAACCACACTTACACCAAAGCTAAAGCTGCATTAGTTCAGAAACTAGAACACTCGATTCACCCAAGTTTAGACTAGCTGTCAAATTTGTTTGCTTTACACCAACAGATCTTTACAAAATGTGCACTTTCAGCAAAAAGGGTATAAAAAACAAAAAGTATAGCATTGTTTTTGATACTAAATAATGCAATGCCAGGCCCACGTGGATTTAGAGCAGAGTTCTATAAAAATCTAAGCTTGTCCTTTGTGTATATGATTAATTACTCATTTGTTCTTCAGTATTTTCTCACAGCAAGCCTCATTGAATCCCTCTGGGAAACCACCAGAGGGATGACACGATTGCATTATTATGGAAGGGATTGTGTCATATTTTGCCCCATCTACATTTTTGATGTCTGTTACTCAGTCTGTTGATTCCTTTTGAAATTATTTACAGGATATAATCCAAATTATTTAAATCACTTTTGTTTTCTTCCCTCTCTAGGATGATTACCCATTGGCCAGCCTTCCACTGCTCGGTTACTCGGTCACCGTCCCCTCTGAGTCCGAAAACATCCACAAGGACTATGTCTTCAAGCTGCATTTCAAGTCCCACGTCTACTACTTCCGATCAGAGAGTGAATACACATTCGAGAGGTACCAAATGTGTCATCTTTTAAAAGTTTTCTTTCATCCTCAATGTTTCAAGGACTGATTAAAAAGCCCTTTCTCTGCCCTTTAGGTGGATGGAGGTCATCCGCAGCGCTACTGTCCCCTCAAGTCGAGCTCGTGGTCTGAACGGCAAAGAGACCCACGCTTAATGAGTTGGCTCACCTAGTTTCCATACCCTTTCTCCTTCGGGTGGCATCCGCCCGTCCTGTCCCACTCCGGACTCTTTGCTTTTCTTTTCTACGCATATCTGGGACATTTGTACATGTGTCCATGCACATTTGGTGCTTTTTAATGCTTTAATGGTGACATGTCCGCTGGTTTAGACTGCATCAGAGACTGCATTTTTGGCATTTTTACTCTCAACTCTGAAACCTCTTTTTAAGGATGTCATTTTATACTGTTTTCTAATGGTCTGAACCACTTCCTCTATTTCTGGTTTTACATGTTTGTCATCGGTTGTTTTTAAATGCAGGAACACATTGATACTAGATATTCAGTATTCTTTCTTAGATAGTTAAACTCTCACTGCATTGTCATAAACATTTTGTCTACATGTTCATTCTATGGAAAACGGTCACCCTTTAACAGCTGATGCTCTGATCACACTTGGCCCAGCAGAAAAAGAAGGAAATGAAATTATTTTGTCGTATTATTGACGTAAACCTCGACATTGTGGCCAGCGGTGGCTGCCATCACCACTGATGCCGTTTTAAGTGAAGTAAATGTTCTATTTGCTGAAATTTGTTGTATGATTCCAATCACAGAGTTCTGCTTTTTTATATATATATGCATATATATAAATTAACTCTGAAGTTCCCATTCAGTTGTGTGAGAAAATGTGAGATGTGCTCATAATCGCTGCGTTATGATGGCAAGTGTAATTGAAAGCTTTAAGGATTATGTGCAAAACAAAACAGAAACTTTCAGTTCCAAGCGACGTTGCCCTCACAAAACTAGGCTGCCTCCCCATATAAACACAGATCTGTTTATGGGTCTGAATGAATGGAAATATGCATTTGACAGGGTTTTGCAGTGAAGTATATGAGATGGAAAACCTCAGTTCTGCCTAGAATTGCAGCGTTTTTTCCAGACAGCAGAGAGCTCTTTGGAAATGAAAGCAATAAAAAAAAAAAAACATACTCAAACTCGGATTGTTGCGAGTTCTGTGTATTTTTTCCTTAAAGTACAGAGGCAGGGGTGGTTTTCAGTAGGTAAAAAGAAGATGTGCAGTGTGTTTATGGCTCTGTTGGCTGTGGCCTGCAGATGGCATCACTGACCAAGAAAGCTTTCTCAGTCAAGCCATCACTGCACAGTGTCCCTTCTGTCCTGTACTCTTTGTGGGGAGGATACACTGCTATCAGCTGTGACTCCCATCCAGGGCTAACAAATAACTACCGCACAGGGAGTTAGCCAAAGATTAGCTTAACTGTGACTGAGCGGACTTGAAGAGGTATGAACAGAAAAGTTAACAATGAAGTTAAAGTAATCTATAAGGCGTAGAAAATGGCAGCAAAACTCAATACAGTTATTTTTAATGGTAAAATAGCTAAAATAGCTTACAAAATGGCTAACGGTGTTAGCTAAATAGCAACTGCTAGAAGGTTTTGCTGTAATATTAGCAAACAAATGTAACTGGAAACCTGAAAGGACGTGAATAAGCAATTGAAGGATGGGATTAAATTACGTTAATACGTTTAGCTCTTTAGCTTAGCAATTCATAAACTGATAGCTAAAAGCTGAAATTGTTAGTTAAAGGTAAGGCTTCACCGTTTAAATTGCTACATGGTAAATAAAGGTAGTGGACAATAGTTTTAAAAGGTAAAGTTAAATTTATTATACTTTCTATTTTTATTTCATTTTGAGTTTTCGTTTTGTTTTCATTTGGTTTGCTGGGGAGATTTGCTCATTAAACAGGTTTATGGTAATGATTACTATACCAACCCTTACAAAAAAGCATATGCACCAAAGTCCCTGATCCTACATGTGTTGACAAACTTGACCACATTGACATAAACTAAACGTAAACACAATTTAAGGATTTTCATTTTAGTTTTATATAAGCACACGGTATACTTTCGTCAGCTTCTTTTAAAGGATGGTCTTTTTTCAGTTAAATAAAATATCATTTCCCGGTTTTAGTTATTACTTTACTTTTAGATAGATATAATAATTTGGGTAAAAAATTAAAATAAAGATAATCAGATGAAAAGTGCAGCTAGAAGGCTTCTATACAAGTACTTGGGAGTACTCTTTTTGTTTTAACTCACAAGTAGTACATAAATTCAGTCTTTTATAGTGTGTCACTGAACCAGTTCAGTTATTTTCAATATAATCAGTTTTTTGTAGTAGCTTTGGAAAAATGGCCTTTAAAACAGTACCGTTTGATACTGTTTTAAAGGCCAGTTTCCGGTGTCACAAAAGAGGAATGTTGTGATGACACTCCAGAGGCTTGTTCGCCACGGTTGTGATTTTTGTGGTAATGGGGAAGCATTGATCCAGTCATTCATACTGTAACTGCACGCAGTCCAAAGTCCAGGCCCACCAGCTTACACACACACACAGCAAGTGGGCAGGACTTCAAGCCGGTAAGAGGCGGAGTACGCAAGGGAGAAAACAGATTATACATCTCTTGCCTGGCGCTGGACGGTCAATGAAACGCTACTCAAGAGGACACTTTATTGTGTCAACAATACCCGATAAGAGAAGGCAGAGTTCCGGAGCGATGCGGCATGTGTTGATTTTCAAGAACGAAAACTGAATCGAGGAATGGGAGCGTCGTACCAGCGGCCACACCACAACATGACCCAACTTCAAACTCGTGGTGCGCACTAGCGGCGGTCGAAGGCGCGGATAAGCCGATGATGAGTTTCCTGTAAACTGTTGATAAAACGCGTGGATTGGACGGTAATTAATCCCAAGGGACGCGTAGCGATGGCCACTCCGGTGCATCCGGAGACCAGGAAATTTACGCGGGGTCTGGGTAAACCTGGCACCGCTGCTGAACTCAGGCAAAGTGTCTCGGAGGTGGTGAGGACGTCGGTGCTGGTCGTAAGTACTCACCTTAACTCCCACTCCTCTGCGCCACAACGCTCACTGTCATCAGTGTCTATTAAAACTTTATGGAGCAATGAGAGACCTGCTTTTTCTTACTCACACGTTTTTGGAGAAAATAACTGACTTCAGATCAGTTGAGCAGGACTACGCGTGCCTTTTACGGTGATATAATTAAGGTTTAAGTATACCCCTGACACACTTGGAGTGATATGGGTAACAGGCTCCCACACAGCTTTGAACAATATTTGGTAGACTGTTGATTATAAATCATAATATATATTTAAAACAAACAACGTTTTCAGCTTCCTCCTGTTTGCATTTTACACAAAACATTTGGAGCTCATCATGAATGCTGGCAATCTTTAAATCCTTCACTTTCATTCTCACCCTGTTGACTTCAGACCAGCTGAGTTAGAGCACGTGGGCATTACGAACGGGTGGGTGTGTGTGGCCAGGGGGTGGTATTTTTTTATTTTATTTTTTTAATGAATGAAGATATATGGGTGACAGAAAAATGTAATCAGTCACTTCCGTTTGGAATTTTTTTGAATGAAGTGCTGACTCAACGAGCTTTCCAGTTAAAGCAGATAGATTACCAGTCCAAATATACATTTAAAGACCAAGGGAAACATCACATATACATGAGAGCATAGAATGAATCAAAGGATCTCCCATTTAAATGTAGGACTGGAAATGAATGAAAGTGAAATAAAACAACAGCCACAAAAACAAACGTGGAGTAATGAAGTGATTTGTATTTATAGGTAGGTTTTGCAAAATAGACAATAGGCGTTTGCAAGGTGTTCAACATTACAGAAGAATGTTGTCTTTATTAGGCTCAGGTATGTATGTCATTCCTTTCCTAGAGTCTGTAGAGAATCAGTGCACGTTCAAAGTCCTGTGTGTCAATGAGGGGATCACTTCACAGGGCTGCATCGAGATGACATAATACGGCTTCACAAAGGAAAGCACGAGGCTCCAATTTCATGCTTCAGACACATATAAAGTGTCCAGTGACAGTGACAACATCTGGGTGACGAGGACCTGAAGCCTACCTGCTCGGTATCAGTTTTCCTCAGAGCTCATCTTGGATAAAGGAGTTGACCCTTTTGTTGTGTCCAGAGTGCGTTCGGTGTTTGGTGCTCCGTCTGATTGTTCCAGCTTTCCTGGAAAAAAAAAAAAAAGCTGCTAGGCAACTGAAACGTACACCGTCCAGGCTTTCTGTCAGGGAAATGGAATCCTGAGTCACGATCCCAGACATCCAACCACACCTTCATATTATTTATTCATCCTCACTCTGGTGCACTGCCAGGGACGCCTAAGGGAGGAGAGGAGAAGTGGATAGAAGAATGTGTGTTGGGAAATCAACATGCTCGAGGAAGACTGAAGTAACTTGTAGAAACTCTGTGGGGGAATTTGTTTTGCGGTTGCCCGAGACAACTTTAATATCATTTCAAAACTAGTACCTGCCATCTCGTAGACTCCAGCCCTTTGTATATGACCTTTTTAGACATGAATGCATGGCTGCAACTTGGAGTTCAAGTGTTTGCTGAAGCTTCTCAGTGGGATAAGAATGCGACTGCACACAAGACCACTGTCCACGCAGCTTGTAATTAATTCCTCCATAAAACATGTAAATACCACAGCAGGAATGGAGGGATCTGTTTTCAAGCACATAAAGGAAAGCTTGTGGTTGTTGTCACCCATCCTGCTTGAAGCCATAATGATGTTTTCACGCGTAAATGTTGCTGCATGTTTAAAAGCCTGGAAACATATTATAATGTACTGTAGAGGACTTGCATATCCACTGATTGTGGATGTTTGTTAGCCATGTTTTGGACTCCAGTGGGCAGTGCTGTATCTTTCACTAACAATTAGTGCGCTTTCGTGCAGACAGACACTGTTTTTCTGTTTGAGTGGAGACACACTTGCAGTACCCCGGAGCCCTCAGCTGAGCCCTCTGTTTCTTCACACTTTAGGCATGCTGAGGACGTTATTGGCTTCATGATTGCTGTCACCAACTTTATATTTATTTTAACTAGTACTGCGCTTTGCCCCACTGTCTTCGTGCTACGCAGAGCTAGAGTATAGTGTAGTTAACGTATTGGCTGATTAGTGTACCATAAATCCATGGCAAATTGATGGAAATGTTTAGTTAGTGTATACAGTGTACGAAGCAGCTAGGGGGGCAGTTGTGTAAGTGTAATCAATAGTCCCAATTGCCTGTCACCTAATGGTGATATACTCAGATCCTCAGTGTTCCTGCTATGTGCCTGACCCGAGGGAGCTGTACACCAGATGGGTGTCATTATGTGGGAGTGATGCTATTAGCCGTCTATAGCCAGTGCGTACGCAGCTCTACAACCAGAGGGGAAAGTGGGGCTGTCATTTATGCTCTGCAAAGACGAGCATTAACATGTATAACTATCACCAGAATGCACGTGTCGCTCTATAGAATAGTGCTCTTGGAATTAAGCATAAGAGATTTTATCAGTCTTATCCCCAGTTGTAGAGGTGTTGCCATTTTAAGGAGAACAACCATTTCAACAATGCAGCTCTCCCTCTTTCAAGTCAGCAACTTGGATAGTTTAGGTGCCCCTTAGGCTGTTTGGCAGGTAGACTGCTTTCCTGTCGTTTGAGATTCGTGTTTCTGTATAGTGTAAAAAGCAACATTTTTAGATTGTCTTTCCTTAAGGCAAAGCTTGCAAGTAATAAGAGCCTGCATAGAAGCTGCAGTGTTAAATGTCTTGATGATGGCATTGCTGACTCTCTTCCAACTGTGAATGAAAACTGTACAATAATCTGCTTTTGTCAGCCCTCTGGGCCACACCTGCACACCTCTCCTCTTTAGCTTTTTTATAAGAGTCTGTAAATTTTCCCAAGATGTGGAAATTCCAGAAATACCTCAGATGGGTGTGTTACTCTAAGTAGGGCTATTTTTCAAACAATACAAATGTGTCAGAGAATTTATTTCTCCCTGTTTGGATCTTTTGCCATGAAAAAAACATGTTCTGTCATGCAGGGAAGCTGGATTTGTTAGCCATTCAGTTTGCCAAAAAATGTGCTTGAGAGGCTGGAACCACAATGAGAC